TAACAAACTAAGTAAGTAGGAATTAACATTCTTCTCCAAATTGCCCATGTTAAATTGTAGTTGGAGGAAATGTGTGGGCAACCTGTTAAGCACTTCCAGTAATAACAGACTCCTCTCGTTAGAAAATACCCCAGTAATGGGAAGGTGTAATTATCAATTCCCATTCAACCTGAATGAACTTTCCCAAGGACATAATGTCAAGGGAGTGTGTGTAGAATTGACAATATACGGTACAGAAAACCTGTTTGAAAAGGGCTTCCGACTCTGCGGTTAGGCTAAGTCTGGTAGGAAAATTTGCGAAGATTTACGAAGCTGTACATTCTCGTGAACATAATGTAAAGTCAAATGTGCATGAAAAAGGAAACCTGGGAACGATAGTGCCAGATGTGAAAAGAGTGCATGAATTTTTTAAACGGATGTGCAGGTGACTGCAGGTGACCACAAGATTACTCGAAGAACCCAAAGTTTCGTTGAGAAATCATTCTTCGAAAAATTACAGATTGTGATATGACGGCGACCGAATGTAAAGGCACACAGGAGCCTGAGGACCGCGCTAGGGTTCCGGAAGCTGGCCGCGTGAGCTTTTCATGCGTTTCAGCCCAAGACAAACAGATTATACCATCGGTGACAACAGAGGGAGGTTTGCATATCAACATCGCTGAGTCAAATTGGCACTAGTCGTGGTTTTAAGACGTTGGGTCTACCACGAGAGGGCGCTATTTCTGCTAACAGATCAGGGGCGTGTTCTGTGCACCCGAACCATGAATTTGTTTCAGCAGCTTTGGTCATTGGTTTGCGTTTTTGCGACTATGCCTGTGTGACGTCATTGTTCTGACCGAACGAAAATCGAAGGTTGGAGTTGGTTCAGCGCCGGTTCAAAATTTCGGAAAATTGACATGCACCCATCTCTCTCACAGAAATCACATGTTTGAGATCACCAGTGTTGGTTCAGAGGAGCTATTTTCAACGTTTGGTGTTCCAAAGGCTTTAATTTGGGACCTCTAGTTTTTTCATGTCATATTAAACGACATGCCATGTTCATTACCTGTAGACCAACAATATTTGCAGATGACGCCATGTTCACAGCTTCAGACCAAAATACTTATAACATTAACAGGAACTAACAACATAATTCACTAATGTGCACCATGGGCAGTCCTTAATTATCATGACAATTGCAAGGAGGCTTTGGTGCATTCAAATTAAAAGAGATATTGAAAATGGGATGCAGAAAAGGGAATGGGACTTTCGGCGCATTTCACTTCCCACTCGTCAAATGAAATGCCAAGCCCCTGAAACACGCATGTCAAGAGCACCGGAGCCGACCATTGTGACTGAAGACCCTCAAAGTGTAAAATAACCGACAATTCAAGGTCAAATTTTAATGCAAATTCAAGGTCTGTTCGTCAGGCTAATCTCCTCGTTTCTTTCTTTTTCGTAAAAAATTAAACACAAACTTCAGAAATCAGACAACGAGAGCGTAAATCAATCACATTTTAACCAGGATGGAAACCACCTATGTTCACTTCACCGACCAAATTCATTTGTAACCAAGACTTTGATGACTTGCCGACAGAATGTGCGTGAGAAAATAAGATTGGCGAATGAGACGGAATAAATTAAGAATATGTGGCAAGTTTGGTGTTTTGGCTGAACGAAACTTCATCATTAGCAGCATGGAAAGTTAGTCAACTACTATTTTGGTTTCTTTTAACAAAATATACATTTACTGACCCATGCCGAGAATGTATCGTCTGAAACAAGGTGTGACGGAAGGCTGAAGGCAGAAAAAAATGACTTATTCTTAAATGAATGCTTCTGTATGCCAAAAGGGTTCTTAAAGCTGGCTTCAATTCTGCATTCTCCGTGGCGTTACGCTCTGACGTTAAATCCCAACTCTGCTAAGGGCACCATTTGGTAAAGCATAATCATAGACGCTTTGGTTTGAACTTACCGATTGGACCTTGGGTGTACGGGCAGGTGTCATCCAGGTCGTGTTTATTTCCGATGTTTTTACGATCTTGGAGATTACATGTACATCCTTCACGTTCGGGGTATTTGGTGAGCCACGCGTGGTTGCGTAAGCAAGCGCATGAGGCTTCTGTGGAAAGATACTGTAAATTACCTGCTGACAGTTGCCCGCAAGCCGCGATCAGAAACTCTGATAAATGTTTACACGGGTATACGTATGAGCACCAGGTGAGATCCATGCGAGATTGTGGCGAAGCGAATAGCGCAACACGACAGCCTCTTACTTAGCAACGCCATCGCCACCACCACCCGTTGTCATGTAGAAGGCGGGCCTACTTTCACAAAATCAATGAGACCTCATTCGCAAACACGTGGTCGAACGGTCCACACAAAATATTACCAACGAATATTATCTCGTCCCTCTGTTTGTGGAAAGTTACACTCCAGACACAGAGTGACTCTCTATACATTTTTCAAAAAATAAGCTTCGCCCAACGGGACAGCGTGTTTCAGTTTTACGAGTCGCAAGCTGAACCAAGAGAGGGCGCAATTTTCCTAGCGGCGCAGCGGGAACGTCCGTGCATGACGTCACTATGCAAAAATCCACAGCTTCATCGAGAACCCAATGGCGGACCGTGCTACAAACAGACGACACACTGCAGACAACACGTGGGTGAGGTGGCACAGGTTTGTCATAAACGTTGTTTTTTTCTCCTCCAGGTCTATGAGTATACCGAGCGCACGGTAGTCGCTTTAATCCGTTTATTTTCGCGACTTCATGTATCATCAACTAGAAGAAATTTTGTTTTGAGCGTTGAGGAATCGCTGGCACACCTATGTGACGACATTTGTGGAGTAGGGAGTCGAGTAAGTACAATGGATTTTGCTTTTATTATTCCACTCTGTACAGGAATAAAATTCAAAGGCCTAGGCCTAGTTCTTCAGTTGAGAGTGATGAGACCACCATGGAGAAAAGAAAAGACCAGTGTGAGACTAAACCTACATGTACATGTGTTACTAGGATCAACACCAGGCATGCCAACACCATGGAGGAAGTTTGTGTCCTTCCTCCATGCCTACACTCTCTGACTACATTACATGTGCATGGCCCATTTCTGTGAAAATGACAGGAGTAACTTTTGTAGGCCTAGGCCTATATGCCCACTAAGATTTTGCACACATCTTGCAAATTGTTTTCCCTCAAGTCGTTGGGTGTGATGTGCTCCCCGTACGTGCAGCTAATTAGGCTATCCCATATATGATATAACTTAACTAAGCTAAGCCCAACAAGCCCAACTTCACTTTGGCATGCAGTGTGTAACGGGAAAAAATGGCACACTATGGGGAATCCGTGAAACAACAAAACTCTTACTAAACCAAGGATCTTTGAGGGAAAAGTCGCAGGAAACTGAATTAATAAGGACTCAGACACCAATATTTGATTAAAAAAACAAACAAAAAGAATTTATTAATGAAACAGAACTGAAAAATGCAAAAACCCAAAGGACTATAGGACTAAAACACCGGAAGACTAAAACTTTCAAAGGACTGAAAAACCAAGACTAAAAAACCTAAAACCCAACAGTGTGCATAAGTGGCCTTTTAATTTAAGTATATGTACACTCCAACAAGAAGTCTGTAAACAAAGATAAGAAAAGTAAAGAATATAATAAGAAACAGGGTCTGCTAAATATTCATGACACAATAAACAAGTTCTCTCATACAAAGAAAGTGGAAGATGCTAATTCCCAGGCAAGAGTGAACACATTATGCAACAAGTCCAGCATGTCCATCCTGTGGTACCACAGAACTATACAGAGACTAAGTGAGTGCAGTGGGAAAATCCAGAATAAAACTATAAATCACATGCATGGTCATGACTCACTAAACTCTACGCCTCTCTTATAAAATGTACAAAAGACATTGAGAGAATCTAGAAAGCAAATGAATAACTAGTTTGACGCTCTGCTGCTGTTCCCAACATCATTGACTCTCTTAATATGTCTAAACTGGTCTCCTTCCCTACAAGACGAAATCCGCCCTGAACTGATGTTATGCTGGACCTCATCGTCTGCAATGAACCAAACTGGACTTGGAATATATGCAAAGGACCTGGGTTGGGCAACAGTGACCATGATTCTGTTCACTTCCGGATTGTCACAACATCCAGACACCAATTTCTCCATCACACCTTTCACCAGTTCCACAAGGCCGACAAACAGGATTTTCATACTATCCTACAATGCATTCCATGGCAACTATTCCTTGAAGATGACGTGGATGAGACATGGGAAAATTTCACTTCACTCATCCATGCGGCAGTGAAGGATGTCGTCCCTATAGCCACCTCCAAAGGACACCGCTGGTCCCCATGGATAATGAATGACATCGTCAAAGCGGCGAGAAAAAAGAACCGTGCGTACAGACGTGCTGTGAACAAGAACAATACAACTACAATACAACTTGTAGGACAAATACAAAGAATTATGGTCTTTGGTTAATCAACTCATTATATTCATAGTTTAGCTCTTGATTGTAAAGACAACCCTAAGCGTTTTTGGTCTTTTGTTAACAGCAAGAGAAAACACCAGACAAATGCCACTTTTCTTTACAACAACCAAACTGTCTCTGATCCCAGTGCAATTGCTAATGCTTTCAATCTGTCTTTTCAAAGTAACTTTTCTCCACAGCAATCTTCCTACCATCTACCTGACTTGGAGTCCTGCACTGCACATCCTGGTATTGATCCTCTCTGTACTTTCTGTGTTACTCAAGGAGATCTCCATACTTTCCGTGTTACTCAAGGAGATGTCGTTAAGGCTGTCAGCAAATTTAATCCTTCCAAACCACCCAGCTTGGATGGCATATCTCCAAAAATTCTGAAATTAGACACATTCAATCTCAGTCTTTCAACAGGAGTCGTTCCCCACAACTGGAAACAGGCGAATTTTGTCCCATTGTTAAAACTTGGTGATAAATCTCTCATTACTAATTATAGACCTATTTCCCTTACCAAGTTCTTTGTAAAATGCTTGAATGTTTTATAAGCAAGAAACTACTTGATCATTCTTCCAGGCATCAGATCATCCCAGATTCACAGCATGGATTTCAACCCCGACGTTCTTGTATTACTCAATTAACTTTCCTCTATGACACCTGGTCTCGAGCTCTTGACATTTCCAATCCTCCTCGCATTGATGCAGCCTTTCTTGACTGGTCCATAGCCTTTGACAAATGCGACCATTCAATCCTTCATAAACTACATCAGTATGGAATCTGCAGTAACACACTTTCATGGATCAGTAATTTCCTTTCCAAAAGAGAACAATGAGTCATCTTTTTAGGAGCCAATTCTGACTGGACACCGGTAACTTCAGGAGTCCCCCAAGGCTCAGTCCTTGGTCCTATATTATTTAATTTCTTTACACTTGACTTAGCTAGCCATGTAAAATCTTTTCTTCCTCAATATGCTGATGACACTGTTTTGTATAGAATAATTAGATGTGAAGATGACATTTCTATTTTACAGAATGACCTCAACGCTGTTTCCAAATGGTGCTCTGATAACCAAATGAAACTTAACTCAACCAACTGCAAAGTTACGCAGGTAACCCGCTCCAGAAAGCAAATACCAACCAGTTATTTTCTTCCAGATTCTAACCAACCTCTTGATGTTGTCCCATCCTACAAATTCCTTGGTGTCATCCTTTCTAATGACCTAACCTGGACCAAACATGTAAATTTTGTTCGTGCCAAATGTTCTCGATGGCTTCATACGATGCACTGTAAAATCCAAAAATGCTAAAGTTCTAATCAAATGATATTGTTTTCTTTATAGGCCCATCTTAGAATATGCTGCACCGGTTTGGCTACCTTATCAGAAAAACCACATCCAATGCCTTGAGACGATCCAACGTCGCTTCACCAGATCTTACTTTCCCTACAATATTGCTATTTCTCTTTCCTATGAACAACGTCTATTCAAACTTCACTTGCCTCCCCTCTACAACAGACTTGTATACCTCAGTGCTTTGTTTGTCCTTAAGTGTCTTTTCAACAACATTTCTGTTTCCTCACATTTTCTTCCGCAGGCCAACAGTAGAAAAACCGGTCCCCTTCTTTTCAAGCACCAGTACAGTCGAACAAATTGTCTCAAATTTTCTTTGTACATGTATGCCCTCTTTCCCAGATTGTTCAATTCTCTTCCCTCCGAAGTCCGAGAACTCTGCCTTGAACTTTCCCCTAAATCCTTCATCAATTCTTTGGGTGATTATCTTTTAAGTCTCAACCCCATTTCTCATCCAGTTTCACTCCCAAAGTATTTTCTTCCACCCCTCACCACTTAGTATTTACCCTATCATTTCTTTGCCTCTGTTGTTATTTTTTTATTTGTCTGGATATTTTTGCTTCTTATTTCTTGTCATTCTCGGTATTCTTTTTTTTTACATTATTTTTCTAACGGTTTGATATTTCCAAAATATATATTTTTTTTTGATAACCTTCAGTTGTATTTTTTGGAATTACGTATAAATCTGATTTGCATTCTATCATTTCCTTTTTTTGTGTCTTTGTTTAGATATTTTGCTACTTATTGCTTTATGTTGCCAGCCTTAAGTGATATTATTTGCATTTAAGTATAAATCTGATTTACATCTTGATAAACTATATGTTTGGTATGTTTGTAAAGTACAAAAGGATTTGCACAGAATCGGGCAAATACATGTACATTCTGTTCATGGAATTGTTTACAGTTTCCATGATTGACTTAGAAGTTTACAGTTTAATGAGTAGAAATTTGTACTGTAGTGTGACATGTTACTCACTGCAGACTGCCAGAAGTCATTAAATCTGTCGTGTATCCGTGCTGGGTCCAATGTCCACGAGTGGGGTGGACGTCACATCCTTCAGTTCTGGGGGTAGATAAGTGATACAAATTCTGCTTTTTTCAATCAAATTTTCCCTTGAGAATGAGAGCAGCCATTAAGCTTGAGGTACCCAGGCTAAAGGAGATTTTTACACCAAAAATCACAGAGGGTTTCCTCATCATTCTTCCGTTTTCTGCCCAAGGATTGCACTGTAAATTAATTTTATGATGAAGTCACCAATCTGTTTTCACTGCTGAAGTTAAAACTTAGAGTTAGTGTTGACATGTGTATTTTATATCCTTTTTGTTCTTCTCAAGAAGCGGGCTCAAGAGAGACTGAAATTCCAGTGAGGACCCAAGTGACAGCCACTCTGACAGTGATGAGGAGCAAGAACAGTGGATGGAGAAAACAGCAGGTAGAAAAGCTGTCACTTGTCAGTCATTTTTGCCATCTGTGAAGAAATCAATTTTTGCAGGTAGATTTGGCCCAGGTACTTCCTAATGTCTTAACCCTAAAAGAGCTTGGTTACATTGGGCCACCTCACAGCCCACGGCAATCCCTTATGAATTGGGCTGTCAAATGCTGGATTTTTTTCCAAACTTTGTATGCATGACTTTCCTTCTCAATACGTGTACAAATATTGATGTTTTATTTCAATCTGTCATATGGTTTGACAGTCACTTGGAAGTTGGGAATGGCAGCGGAAAAGTATATATTCTTGGTTGACCTCTCTCAGAAAAAAGGTGCTGTGCGAGAACGGTATGTTGGATTTTCGCAAATTGGTGTCAGAATGACCAACAAGAGTTACTAAAAAAACTCCAGAAGGCTTCTGGAAAATATGCACCTTAATAATATTGGAAAATATGTTAAAGGGAGGTGGATTCCCTCTCCCTTCCCCCAGCTCTTTAGGGTAAAATTCAGAGTTTCTTCAAGAAATTTCCACTCTTACAGCCAGAGTTTTCACAATTTTTTAAGTTGAGAAAGCAGTCCCTGGGTACCTCCTGTTGTTTGTACATGTGTCAACTGGCTAAAGATAGACCTTTTCCGAATCAGCTGGCTTAGGCTGACAGAATGACATAAGTCTGTGGCAAATGACTGAAGCCACTCACTTGTGGCTTTAATCATCTAGCGTCAGCCACACCCTTGGGACATCGCCTTAAAACCCTCAACTCTGTTGGGGACATGCTAAAACAAAAGTACATTTATTACAAAGCGTACAGATTTAACTGCCCCCTTTTTGTTACTGTATTTTTACCAGGTGTTAAATGTGATAGCAGTGTGGTTGGTCCCCTGTCTGTGGGCTCGTCTTCTGTCATCACTGGCCTGATAGAGTAAGACGATAGCAGCATGGTTGGTCCCCTGCCTGTGGGTTCATCTTCTGGCATCACTACCCTGATAGAGTAAGGCGATAGCAGCATGGTTGGTCCCCTGCCTGTGGGCTCACCTTCTGGCATCACTGCCTCATTAGAGTATAGCTATCTCTCGTTTTACGACAATAGTACTCATGATTTTGGTCCTCTTTCTAAACTGAGTATGCTTTTCAACAACAATTTTGGATACCTTTTGGATAACTGCAAATGATAGACTGTACAATACATTTAACCCATTTGTCCTTGTACAGGGTTCCCACAGTCATTGAAAGTCCTGGAAAAAAGTTGTCTCAAAAGTCATGGAAAACTCACGGAAAATTGGTCTGAGGAAAGTCGTGGAAATCAAGATCGTACAAGGGTGATTTTGATGGTGGTTGTGGATAGTGGCTATGGCAGTCTTCCCATTTATTATACCAAACAAATTTTCTGTGCAGGGTGGCATTAAATGCCATGGAAATTGTCATATTTTAGTTCTGGAAAGTGTAGGAAAGGTCACTGAATGTTTTTCAGATTTCACAGGAACCTTGCTTGTAACAATCAGGGCCCAATTTCTCGGCGCTGCTTAGCACGCGATTTCATGCTTACAGAGGCTCTGCATAATTCATGCATACCATAAACAGTAAGTACAGCCAAATGCATCCTAACCTTGGAGGAACAACAGAAATCTCTATCCGCACGCAACCGTTAGCACAACCACCCCGAGCACTGCCATGCAAAAGTGCTCAAGGTTACACCCTGTACACTCCCCAGCACTGTGTGGTTTCATGGATTTAACATTGACCCACAATAAGGGTCTATATGGTGATGCGTTGAAATGTGGATCATTTGCTCACTTGGGGAAAAAATGATTATTACAGTGTGACTGAAAAACCTAAGGTGACCTTTTCTACTTGTTTTTTTGTCATTCTTTCTTGTGTTAAGATTTGGGAAGGCCTCATTGCTAGGTGAAGTACTGCCATGGCTGCCTACATGAACGTTAAGGCTGGCTAACGTCATTGTGCGAGTGGACTGACCGATGAAATCCCCAAAGTGAAGAGGCAGGTTACGTCATAAAGAACACAGGTAAGAGTCCTGTGTTTCATATCATTGCTGGCTTTTTGCAAGGATGAATCCGGGAAATGGGGAGGGGCCAATTGGGCTCATGAGCAGAAAAGGAGCAAAATATTTTTTATTTGAGAAAATGAAAGGATCTTTTTGGTCTATTTAATTTCCCTTCTTTTGAAAAGTGGAAATGTAGGCTAACCCCTCAAACAACTTTAAAAATTAAAAAATTAGAATCAAGTTTGTTCCCCCGTCCCCCCCAAAAATTGGGTCCTGGATCCACCCTTGGGTATTTGTGGCTAGCTTTAGGGCAACCAGGGCAAGCTAGTTGAATGCACCCACTATACTGGAATTGTTCACATTTTCCTGGCCTAAAGTTCCTTTTCCTTCATGGTTCATTGCTGTTTCATGACGGTCCACATTTCCTGAGACATGTTCAACATGTTCAAGGAGCCATTTCAGGTTTCATGGTTTTAATTGTAAAACTCACAAAATGAAGCGTCTAATCATAGTCATAAAAATACCTTTAGACTGACAACAGCAGGAACATAATTTAGGAAAAGCCCCCATTTTTGGTAACCGTGAGCAAATGGCTGCCTTGTCCCCTGAGGTTTCATGATTTGCTGTGCAGCACTGCTCTGCATCAACGAAGATGGATTGGGGCAACTGTGGCAATTGTCCATCAAACATTATTTGGTCCTGTTAGTCTTTTTATTAAAGTTCCAACCTGGCACAGTTCAATTTTTCTTCCTCATAATATTGCCCATTATTACAAGTCATTAGTAGAAGCCAAGGTGCACAGTATGTTAAATTCAGATAAATTCCTGACATTAGTGAATATTTTGAAAAGCAAATTTAACATACCGGTATTTTCTCAAATCTTATCTGATAGAGCACTGAGAACTGTTTCTCCGAAACGTTTCAAAAATAATGTCTAAAATTAAAAATTACATATATTATGGGGATTTGTTAAAGCTTTTTGAAGGTAAGCAATGAATATATACAAAAATTCAAGTGTTCAGAGCTCTTATTTAAAGAAGGATCTACCTTAACTTTGACAAATTCTGAACCAAAACACAAAAAGGGACCCATTGTAAACACTAAGCAGTATTTTTAGTCACCATCCAAAATTTCTGATTTGTATCCAACTCAACAGATTTGTGCACACTGTTGAAATATTTCTGTCCACACTTTCAGGATCAATTGTTCATCTCTGTAGGAGTTGTTGGTCCATAGATAGGTTTGTGGTCTTCCCTGACTGTTGTTACAGTAAAACAGCGCCCTCACTTGTTAGGAAAAGGGAAAGACAATTTTAAGTGTTTAAAATGTCACTTTTTGATTCACCAAACCCTAAAGGGGTGTCTGGAAAAATATTTTTAACAAAGAATTATACAAATCACAAATGCTTTCAGAAGTAATGGGTCAGCAGTGTCAGAGGAATCCTTTTGTCATAGTTCATTTTCTGACATGAAAATGGATGAAAAGCAGTAGACACTATCAGTTTTTTTTATGAAATAAAAGGTGTAAAAACAAAAAGCGTACGAAGATCCTATAATTTTTGAAGAAATGTCTCAATTACTGCTGCAACTTAGTTCCTTTTGTGATTAATTTCTTCCCAGACCTCCTCACATGAAAGCTATGGGTATGCCCCAGGAGAAGCAGACCATGATGCTGATAAGAAGAGCACCCTCGCCTCCTTCAACCTGGAGAGAAGATGGAGGACAAGATCCTATGGGACTTCACAGAGACGATTCATGAGAATGTTGAGGAGAGGAAGTATAGACGCCAGTCTTCGCCTCCATCACTGAGGAGGAACAGTTTCCAAGATTGCATGAGGGATCCTCATCAGAATCTTAGGCATTGATTCACAAAAAGGCAAGGAAAGGACTCAATTTTCTCAGACATACAGTTCCAAGAATCATACATAGTGATTAATAATTCCAACAAATGGCATTCACATCGCAAAAAATGAGCGTCATTTAATTTGGCTATTTTCTGGCATCAAAACAAGAAACTTCCCCTACAGAGTACTGAAGTCACAAGACATTGAAAACAAATTTTGGTCAACACCTTATCAAGGTCCTTTACGGCCCTGAAAATGATGTATAAAACATTAAGTTTTAACCAAGTAATGTGAGGGCACCGTTTATGAGTTAGAATGATATTGCGGTAATGTGAACGCACGGTCACGGAGTTAGAATTATATTGCGGTAATGTAAAACTGCTATTTATGAGTTAGAATGATATCGAAGTAATGTGAGGGCACTGCTCATGAGTATATTCTGGTAACTAAAGTGAGGGCAGTATTTGTGATTCTGAATCACAGAAATGAAGCTCTTTGAAGATGTGTTTACATGTATCTCAGCATGAAAAAATAACATGTAACTGTTGAGACCCTTTTATTCAGTAAAATAATGCAATGTCTGACATGTATCTGTTGGCAAATATTCCCCCAAATCACATATAATTACAATGTATCTGTGAAAATGATGATTGATACAAAAAAATCAAATTTGTGGTTGTCAGGACATTAAACAGTTTTCCAAAACCTAAACACAAAATGCTAAGAGGTCCAAAATTTCAGTCACTTTTTCTCAAAATGTCCTGAGGTGAGACACATACGTGTACATCATTTTACCATAATAGGGTTGTATAGCACTGGCCAGTCTCATTCATGTCATTGTAACCCCCCCCCAACTCTCTAAGACACTCCCAGTCTCTTACCCCCTTGCCTCAGAGTCATCCCATCCTTAATTTATGCGCTAAGAGAGTGAAGGTGGCCATTTTTAAGTTGTGCAATACCCAAGCAATACACATCACCCAATGCTTTTGACCCTTCTACATGTACATGTAGCTAATTGGGCTCTGAAACATGATTAACCAATTACATTGTCTCACATTCTACCGGTATCAACCAATCATGAACATGAGCTTCATTGTACAATAAGTAAATATGAGA